GGGGGGGGGGGTGCAGCGTCTACCTCTTCCAATGAGTGGTAAACCTCGTAGTCGTACTGAGACTGTGACCTCCGCCTGCGAGAGGAGCCAGACCCGGTCTGCCTTTCAATTTCTTTCTGCAGATTGGAGATAAACACCCTGTGTGAAGAGGAGATGGGGAGACAGACAAACATGATGCACATAATAACAAACTACTGCAACACTTTGGGGGAAAAAAGAGTCACTGACTAAATGCTCTTAAACATCTGCCTCACAATTCAACCATTTGCTCTCAACTGTCTCACATGCAACTGAATGATACCCCCCCCCCACACACACACACATGTAATCCATCAATAGTTCAATGACTTGTGAATAGAAGGAACCACTCCTTGAAACATCAATYATCCAGTGTCAGCTGTGGAGGAAACCATCCAGTCAACACTTTGCTCTCTCAGAGCTAGAATGTCTCCCTTAGGACTAAGATGACAATAAAAGTGATTTCAGCCACAGTTGCTTTGATAAAACTCCATCATTTCAACAATATTTTAAAGACAGATGGTGTAAGGAGATGAAAGAGTTGTTTGAACTAAATATGATTGGTTGGGAGTGTTTTGATCAGACCGTGTTTGCAGGGACCTTGTTCAAATTTCCAGGCTATGTCCACGGTTTTCTCATAACTCCCTAATGCAGCTTTAACAAACAGGAAGAGTGATGTAATTTCAACAAATGCTGGATAACAAATGTGTCAAGTAGGGGAAACTGATAGGAAAAGCATAGTGGTTGTGTACTTACTGATAATTGATTCTTTCCTGCATTAATCGAGCGTGCAAAATTTGAGTGTCGTTACGTTTCACGTGAACATCCACCGTGGCATTTTGATGGATCAGAACAGCACTGTTGGGCTGCCAGAAGTCCACCTAAATGAACACATTAAACAGGATTTTACCTTTAGAATATCAAGCTGTGATATTCTGTTCTCCATGTGAATCGTTCATGTTGTAAAATACTTTGTAAACTCAAACCAAAACGAGTAACAAATATTTCAATCTGTTAGTTCTCTAGATATGTGATTGTGTAGACTCTCAGCTAGTACCACCCCAAACTTCAGCTGCATATTTGTAAGAACGACTGAGTTATGGCTATTTTTCTGTTGGCTAATGATGACGCTCCGGCAGTCAGCTTTCAGCAGATTTAAATCCAGATTTTACTTTTTGAAAGAGAGTTTTATAAAAATTACACTATTGGATAATGAGATTTTTTCATGCACACACATACAGACATGAACAAAAGCAGCACCTGCTTTTTGTCTTTTTGTGGTGATAAAAAAAGTGAATTAAGACATGATGATCTAAGTCTTTCAACATTTTATAAAACAGTCCAAATCAACCTGATTATTTAAAATAGCTACAGTTTTTTTTTCTTTTTTTAAAGAGATTTTAATGTTTCTGTAATTTGTACCCTGAAAACTCAATGATGCTATTTACTTTTACTTTAGTGAAGTAAAACTAATATTAACAGATCAAATCTGGAAAGTGTTTGATGAAGGATAAACATTTGGAGAACTAATGACTCTGCAGTAATAAAAAGAAAACCATTACCAGTCTCAGTGAAATTACTCTTCTTAACTAGTCTTAATTGGTGGGAAAAACTTAGCTTGAGCTGAAATAATCAAAAACCCATTAATCAAACACACAGACATTATGTAATATTTCTTATAAAATAACAGAAAACAACGAGAAAGGTAATGGAAGATGAAACGGGAAGTTTTATTTGTTTTTTTTTTTTTTTTTTTTTGCAGAGATGATGATGGTAAGATAGGAAAATGGTTTTGGATTCTGCACATGTGTGATTTTCCTCCTCTGCCTTTTCATTTTGGCTCCGCAGGCAGACAGATGCAGGCCAACGCACTCGCCTGTTAACATGTCAACTGCTTCAGTAAATTACAGAACGCATTCCAGATTCATTTAGCGGCCGGGATCGCTGCACGTTCCAACTGTYGCGTGGCTGCTCCTCTGCTGGCAAAACAGCACTCAAAGATGTCGATCAGCTTCTTAAAGGAACGCTTTATGGTTCTATTTGTGAGACCTGAAAATGATGTAATCCGTCTGCTTTATAAAGCTTCAATCTCCTGATTGTTTTTGGGAGCTACAAATAAGTGAATCTGCGTGGTTTTTGGTTTGATGTGGCGTTAGCGTGGGCAGAACAAGAAAGAAAAAAAACTGTGGCTCAATAAAATAAACGGCGTGTTTGTCTTCTGGAAGATGAGGTGACGCTGCGTCTCGGTGTTTCGCTGTCAGATCGTTTACAACAAGTTGGCCGGAGTGAGTCGGACCTGTGAGCCGAAACAAAATAACTAACTAAAGGGAAAATAACATCATGTTTATGTTAAAACGCTCAATTTAAATGTGTTTTTGAACATTTTAAAGACATGTGGCTGCTCTCTACCTCACTGAAACATGGTGCACAGAAGGCCTTCGCTCACTCTTGATGATAGGTAATTGCTTCCAAATGATTCTGGGGAAAGAGACGAGGCTTTGTCTCCTCCAGGGGTTCCTGTCTGATTCCAGGATCTTTAAAACATGTGTTTATCATACATTTAAAAACATCCCCTCTGTTTCTCTTGGGGTTTCTTGTGAAATGAGAGTCTCTCACTAAGGAAAGGGAATGTAACCTGACTGTGACAGATGCTTGTCAGTGTGCATTTCCAACGCAATGCACATTATTGTGATTCGTTTCCCATCCAAGTCATCTCAACTTCGCCATGCTTCTCCTCCTGCATACGTTGTCCTAGAGCTGCCATTGTAATTTCTATCTGTAAAGCTCCTGTGCCAAATGATTGCTGTGCCTTTTGGTGCTTGTACAACTTGTAGTTTTTGAAATGTTAATGTTTAAACTTTATTCCAAATTCATATAATGGGAGTCAATGGGGCCTTGTAATGGTCCAATACTGCCCCCAGCTGTACTCAACTTGGTACTGCACCATAGTTTTTTTATATTTAATCTCAATAGTTCAGTGTTTACAATACTAATGTGATTGTATTTTGATGTTTTACTATAATATTGTCTTAATACTGCTCTATTGTTGTAATATTATGCATTTTTGTGTCAATAATTGTATTGGCAATGTGGCCTCTTTCTGCAGACATACAAACCAACCCCTGCCACCACCTTCTGCCACAGCTCCATTGATCTAATGGTCTATGTCATGGACTTTCATGTGGGAGGTCAGGGTTCAAAACCCAGCTAATGCAACTTTAACGAAAACTCTCCTCCAAATTTCATATTGTCACACAATTACCTTAATTACAAACACCTGCTTACATGACAGGCACAAGCTGGTATAGAAAACGCATTTGAACTTGGTCAAAGTTCCTTCTGCAAGTCCAATGCTGCAGGCAATGACATGCTACATGGCAATGCACACTTGTTTTTACATCGTAAAAACCCATGTCTAGTTGTCTCTGTTTTATCTGTTATGGCTCTGAACCTATCAAGGCTCATTTGGATCACAAACTTTCAGCAACACAACTCTAATATACACTGCCCGACAACATGGAGTGTGTGTATAGTAAAATATATGCTGTATGRAAAAAAAAACCAACCTTCATATGTCCTAGGATTTCCTTGAGGGATCGTACCTCCTCATCATCACTTGGAGTGATCCTGAAAACTTGATCGCTGTGAAAAAACACAATCCTTGTAAGTTATTAGAATAAACATACCTAGAATCGACATACTTGATTGACATACAAAATGCATGTTATATAATCTTTATTTAACCAGAGAAAAAGAAAACATGTCGGATATATCATACACTCTAAACTAGTCTCAGGACAAATTTAAAGTTTATTATGTTCCCTCTATTCCTCCAAACTCAGAGTTATCTACAGCAGGTAAGATATTTATCATTTTTCATAACTTTTCCATGGAGAAACACATTAAAAGCTCAGCCAGCCCCTTTAAGCTACCCACTTTGTCCTCTTGCTGGGTGCATGTCATTCCAAACACATCTGGGCTGTGAAGTCAGGCAATAAAGCTGTGTTTTGTGTCTGACTAGAGGTGACATTTATACCAGCAGATGTTAGATGATGAAATGAGTGGTTCCTCTTASAGGATCCTATAGATGACAGGACCAACCCTGATCTAAACAATCTGAGACATCATTACAGGATCATGAGTAGAAAACAGCAACAGAACATTAGGTTTGCTCAGTTTACAATCAAACTAAAAGGATTTTTCTTGCATTTTTTAAAATTTACATTATTTCAGATGAGAACAACGACTCTTTATCCAAAGATAAGGCATTCAACAATGTGTCTGTTTACCTAACACCATACACAGCTGGTTGCAAGTTTTAGCCTGCAAAAAGGTTTTGGGTAGGAGAGATCTCAGATTGAAAACTCTGCTGTGTTTAAAACATGAGCGACGCTTTTTACAAAAAAACTTTTTTTGTTAAGTTTGCAAAATAAAAAATCTAACGTCTCAGCAGAAAGATAAAATAAAAACGTTAGAACCCTGACAAGTAGCTCAATCTGCAAAATAAAATTTATATTCTGTTTTGCCACATTTTTTTACAAATGCATACCTTGGTATTTTGAATCTGCTGACCCTAAAATGAACTGGTTTATAATAACTGTGTGAATGCTTATCAAGCATGTGTTTTTTGGCACGTATCCTGTTCTGCAAATTTTGTGCAATAAATTAGATATCAAAACGTTCAGCTAATTCAGGATTTTTGGTACTTTAGCAATTTATACTTTTTAAGGTATAAAGCTTTTTTTGGCCATCCTTATCTCATTAAAAATGAATGGAGCTGTTTTCAACTTCCTTCAAACCCTTAAAAACGAAACTTTACTGAACTTTTTACCTTTTTTTTTCTGGTCCAGCTTTTTATTTAACACATTTATACAAATTTCAGCTTCCTCCAGCTTCTATTTGGCTGATTTTTTTCTGCTTATTTAGATGCATTCTGACCTTTTGTGCTGTTCTTCTGCTAATTTCTACTTTTGGTGCTTCTCTCAGCTTCTTTCTGCTAATTTCAGCTGTTTTCTGTATTTTTAACTATATTTTTTTAGCTAATTTGAGCTTTTTGTGATAATTTCAACTTTTAATTGCTTATTTCAGCAAACCTGCCCTTTCTGTTTCTTTATGCTAATTTCAGCTACTTTTTAAACCTATTTTTAGACTGGTCTCAACTTTTTTTTTTTTTTTTTTTTGGTATTCAGCAAAAATCTTTCAGCATTAAACATTCACACTGCATTTTCACCGGAAATGCACATTCTCTACTTCATCTTGTTTTTTGTTTTGTTTTTGATTTTTGTTTCTAAGTTTCTTCTCTCTTGTTGAGCGTCTTCCTTTCACTTCTTTCAAATAGTTTTTTTATTGCCTGTCACAGGAAGCTGGATCACAATAATAACAAAGGTGGATGAAGAAAAAAGAAAAGGACCAGGTGTTCCACGACGAGTAACAGCTTGTTTTTGTGGACCAAAGTTCAAAAGGTCTGATTTCCACCGGAGAAGCCCTGACAACAGATTTTTTTTCCTGCTCTCTTGTGATTTTCTTTATGGTTCACTGACGAGCTACACACAGCTCCAAGCATCAGAGATCTCTGGTTCAATTTGAATAGTTTCTCCAAATTTCTGCACAGATATAACTCTCTGTTTTAGTTACCGTCAGCCTGTTGATTCTCACAGCAGTAAAACATTTGGGATGGAAGCAGTTTGCTTTGAAGGCAATCAATGAAGCAATTAAAGCAAAAAAACACTTGTTTTTGTTCTTCAGTCAAAGCTAATGTTTTAGACCTTGGCATTAACTGTCAGAACGTTTCATCAGGGAGCTTGAAAATCTGTCAATATGGATGCAAATCAAAATGCATTTAGTTTGAGACAGAAAAAAAGAGACTTTTTAGTAAAAATACTTGACAATAGCAGGGTCTTGTTGTAACGATACTAGAAAATGACAAAAATATTACAGTTTCAGAGTTTTTAATTTAACAACAGTTTTCTATGTGYAGTCTTAAACCTGTTTATAAGCATCTAGGACCATAAAAGGTCTCCCAGTGAACTGTTCATGGCCCATGGACTGTCAGTTGGTGATCAGAGTCCATTTGTGGCTCTGGCCACAGTTTATTTAGTGAGTGAAGTGAGCAGAAAACGTCTTGTTTGATAACTGCAGACCCCTGATTCCATTTAAAGGTGAGAACAGCTGATTGTGTTTTACATCTGAGGAGGAACCTGAAAACTTTTCTGAGGGAAAACACAACAGGTTGAGTCTCATCCAGGAGCCAGCAAACAGCAGCAGCAGCAGCCTGGAGGAGGATGAAGGTAAATTCAAAGTGGTTTTTTTTTTCATGAAACACTCACCCTGCGTAGCGGTTGTTGTACAGAGACGCACCGACGGGACATGGCACCGTGCTGCAGATTATCACGCACGYCAGTGAAACCAAGGCGCGAGCAGTTCTCTGCTCACGAGCCATGCTGGAGCTCCAGACGAGAGGTGGACAGAGGCGCTGCGGGGTGCAGGTCAACCACAGGGACCCGGCAGCTCCGGCTGGTCTGGCGGTGCGCACGGAGGAGATGTCTGCTGACTCGGGAGGGACCTGAAGGGGCGGACGTGGGTCACGTGGTTCGGAGCGGGCGAAGTCGGTGACAAGTCTGAAAAGATTAGTGATGAAATGACAAGCGCTTCTGTTTTTATTTAAGGAGGCAGAGAGGTGGATTATATTCAACAGGATCATCAGTTTTTCCTCACTTAATTTTCTTCAATGAAACATCTCAGAAGTTTAAAACAAATATAATTCAGATATTTTGTGTTTTGTGGAAGAATTATGAACAATTAATATCTTACCTGTTGTAGATAGCTCTTTAAACCATCTGAGTTTGGAGAAATAAAAATTATTCCGAGTTCTGTTTTTCTCACTCAGATGTGGGGTTGATGTCAGACCCAATTGAACTCAGACCAGTATTTACGTCCGTTTTCTTCCTCTTTTCCGGGGTTGGGTCGCAGGGACTGCAGCCTAAGCAGAGAGACCCAGACTTCCCTCTTCCCAGCCATTTGGGCCAGCTCGTCCGGGGGGATCCCAAGGTGTTCCCAGGCCAGCCGAGAAACATGGTCCCTCCAGCGTGTCCCGGGTCTGGGCATGGGCACCATGCGAAGGAAACTCGGCTGCTTGTATCCGCGATCTCGTTCTTTCAGTCACTACCCAAAGCTCATGACCATAGATGAGGGTAGGAACGTAGACAGGCCAGTAAACCGAGGGCTTCGTCAGCTTCACCACGACAGACCGGTACAACACCCGCATCACTGCAGATGCAGCACCAAACCGCCTGTCGATCTCCCGCTCCATTCTTCCCTCATTCGTGAAAGAGACCCCAAGATACTTAAACTCCTCTACTTGGGGCAGGACCTCCTCCCTGACCCAGAGAAGGAACCCTACTGGTTTCCAACTCAAGACCATGGTGTCGGATTTGGAGGCACTGATCCTCATCCCGGCYGCTTCACRCTCAGCTGTGAACCGCTCCAGTGAGAGCTGGAGATCAGGATCTGATGAAGCCAATAGGACCACATCATCCGCGAAACAGATCCCCTCAACACCTTGGCTGCATAGAAATTCTGTCCATAAAAGTTACGAACAGAATCAGTGACAAAGGACAACCGGTCGTACAGGGACCTAACCCGTATAATTTGTGTGCTCAATAACCAGGTTAACTACTTTAACTAAGAACAACAAGTGTCTCTGTATTCTCTTCATTCAAATAATCACATGTTCGCTAACAGAGGTTGGACAGTTCTATGGAACGAACCAGCCTTAAAATGAATATTTGTTCTTGCATCTCTTGCGACTTCATACGTGAGGCAGCCATGTTGGATTTTGAGACCTGGACAGGACTCTGACAGGTCTGTGGATGAATTCTGACTTTTTTCAAGTTGATTTTTCTGAGTTGTAACTCAGAAATTTCATCATCAGAGTAAAAATGGAAGGCGTCGTGAGTTTTGGCCAGACTGATGAGCTACTGGCTAGTTTGAGTGATGAGGACAAAACAACTTCAGTCTTGAAAATTTAATATTGATTAATGACAAACTATTTAAAAAACCCCTTTACATCACCTCATTTTTGCATCATGGTTATTGACGTAAAATTTGAAGATCATTTGCAAAAGCAAATAACAGCGGCAGCAGTTAGCTGTGGCACTTCCGTCACATTCTGGAGCTCTGTGGATAGAAACATGATAATATTCATGTTGAAATAACAAATTGTGTGGAACTGATGCTTATAAAATGAGTAAATTAGCATTAGCATGAATTTCCTTTTTTTAGAGAAATTATTTACTTTTATTTAGACAGGTCTCATTTACAAGAGAATTAAATAATATAATTAAATTAATGAAAATAATTACTCATTGAGTCTCAGATTAGATGTCCACTCACCAATCTCATCTCATCAGGATATTTTCTGTTTCTTCAAAATGAGGCCTTTGAAATCTCAACTTTTTATAAGCTTTCAACAAAATGGATGATCAAAAACAGTGAGAGTCTCACTAAAACACATTTATTTTTTAAAATATTTTTAGGGTGTAAACTCTGTTTCTCAGTTCCTCCCAAATTGTTTTCAGTAAACCTTTTACTGTGAATTCATGAGACAAGAAGACAGTTTAGATTTTAGTAAGTAAGTAAGTAAGAAATTAAGTAAGTAAGTAAGTAAGTAAGTAAGTAAGTAAGTAAGTAAGTAAGTAAGTAAGTAAGTAAGTAAGTAAGAAATTAAGTGAGTAAGTAAGAAATTAAGTAAGTAAACTTTATTTCTATAGCACCTTTCACAGACACAAAAATCACAAAGTGCTTCAGAGAAAGCAAAAATACCTAAAAACAATAAAACAGATCACAAATATAAAAACAACAATTAAAACACTATAAAAAGCACATTTACTAAAAGTCTGTCTGAATAAAAATGTCTTAAGATGTTTCTTAAAAGAGTCAGTTTTCAATTTTAGTTGTCGACTGAGTTCCTCCGTCTTGTAGTCCATCTTTGACGAGTCCAAAGCAGCGAGCAGCTCTGCCTTGGCGCTGATCCACAGGAATTCCTCTGTGTGAAGCTGTAGATGTCTCCCTTTATTCCCAGCTTTTTGTTCCCCTCTTTGATCCTCTTCTTATCGTCCAACACGGTGATTAAACGTCTAAGTCAACCGCCGGCCCTTCCTTTTGTGACTACGTGGCAGCGGCACATTTTTCGCATGCTTCTCCTTCAGTGTCAACAGCGTGCCACCTGTTTTGCACCAATTACCATACAGCAGGACCACCCCTTAACCCCCCCTCCATCGTCCCAAACTGTGACAATAAAGCAGTTTAATGAAGATGATGTGTTTCATACATGAATCATCCTAGATGACAAAAAAAAAGTGCTCCAAGTCAGCACAGCAGTAAAAATGAGTTTTTAACAAAATAGAATTAGAAATAAAGCTGAAACAAGTTCAGATTTTTTAAGTGAATTTTCATGAAAAGGTTACGAACATTTAATATCTTACCTGTTGCAGATATAACTCTTTAAACTGCCTCAGTTTAGAGAGGTAGAGTTAAATTATGACAGTCAGTCTGCATGGAAATGGTAGTCTCAAAGATTTTTAACGTGATTCATGCAAACAGTGTTTATTGCTCACCTTCATCCATCACTGAATGGATTCCAATGAAACTTCCAGAAAGCAATSAACRACATCTAAYGATTAGTMAACTCAATGCACAATAACTTAGAGACACAAGTGTGGGTGAAGCAAAAATAAATTCAACTCTTTAAATGTTATTTTTTCCTTGGGTCAGTTGGTTTAATACAAATATTAYTTGTAGCTTTGCATACATTTTGAAATTTGGGGAGTGAATGATTTAAAACTATCACTGGTTTAAAAATCCCATGAAAATGATCCACTTCTCCTTGTGAAAATTTAAATCACTGTGTTTAAAAAGCAGATATATATTTCAGAAATTTAGAAAAAAAAGTAAAACCAAGAATCTGAGGTGAGTCTGAGCTGAACACAGTTGAATATTCAGGTCCTGCTTGCTTCTTTTCTACAGTTTGTTCGTTATGTTCAGATCCACCCGTTTGAAGGTAACGAGTCTAAAACCATACAACTGGAGTCAGTTTGATGTTTTTATCCTCAGAGCTGCATTCCTAGGTGTGTGGCACTGCGGTGGGCTTCGGGTTGTGGTCTGCAGGGCTGTTAAGGACCAAGTTTCTTGTTGTGTTTTTGCAGCAGAATCTAAATCTCAACCTTCAGAGCAGAGCCCAAAGTCAGTAAATCACAGTTTTCCTCCCGAGTCTCAAACTGCTCTGAGGTGAGGAATGTGAAAGAGCTCTTTGACCACCTTGTAGTCAGAGTTTGTGCTGTTTGGCAGAAAAACTGGGGGTTTGGGTAAAGTGTGGGGCCTTCAGGAGGATGCATGTCACCATACCACCTTGAGGAAAGTGGGGAAAGTTTAAAGAGATTAAAGCTGTAAAGTCTGAAGAGGTCACGGAGGCCATTTGGCGGCTATAAAATGAATTACTATAAAACTGAGCTCAGAGGAAGGCGAGTGCGGAAGCCCCAAAGTGCCAAAATCCAGTGAGGTTAAAGTTCTTCTCCCAGTCAGGTTTGAAAGCTTTTCACCCGGATCAGAAGAGTCAAACTCATTTTCACTGAGGGCCATGTGAGCGTTATGGTGGTCCTCAAAGGGCCAGATGTATTTAAATTCAACGTTTCATGTTTGACTAAACAGCAAACGTCCTGTTCCTCTTCTCGTTGYTGAGTACCGCTAAAAAAAGTTAACTGAGCTCTACATGGTATTTCCTGCATAGAAACAGTGTTCCTTATTRATACTGAAAAGTACGCGTATGACTGACTAAATGTGAAATAAATAATACAGAAATACTATTAAAAGTAAAAGAAAGAGTTTTACTCACTGTTGAGTTGTGGTGAGTAGCCGCCATCTTGAATTCTGAACAACAGAGAATTCCCACTGGAGGGGGTGTTCCAGTTTAAATTTATGACTCGTAAGTGGGAAAACCCCACTTCCCAGTGCAACTGGGCCGTAGCAAAAAAAAAAAAAAAAAAAAGCCATTAAAAATACATTGAAATGGAGATTTTACACTGAATTTTGCACACTGCAAATTTTGAACCCCGTGCACCTCCACCTAGTGGTGGGATGCTGTTGTTGCATGGTTGAAACAATCAACGTGCATTATGGGAGATGTAGTTTATGGTCAATGCTGGCTGTAAAGCARCATATGCTTRTTTYAAGAAAAGCCATAAGTCCTTGACACATGACCTATTTTATCTCATTATGCAGCTACAAGAACAAATAATTCATTAGCTTTTTACATGAAGATTTTAATAATTGACCACATAATCATTGTATGTATGACAAATCTCTGATGTGTTTATGTCCAACGTTACTTCTTTAATTTATGTGCATTTTTGACTACGTGTCACTTTATTTGAGTATTTTCATGTCTCTACAGACAAGGGGAACTTTGGATTAATGATCTGGGTCAGCAGATCAGAATCATCCATCATCATGAGTCAAACACAG